TTTTTTTTTTTTAAGACAGGGTCTCACTATGCAGCTAAGGCTGGCCTTGAGCTCACTTGGTAACCCAGGCTGATCTCAAACTCACAATAATCCCCCTGCTTCAGTCTCCTGAGTGCAGGGATTACAAATGTGTGCCACCACACCTGGCTTAAAAATTAAAAAGGACTATAAGACTTTACATTAGCAACTGCAAACCAACAATTTAAATATCCCAGATGAAATGAGAGGATTCCTAGACAGATGCAAAGCTACCAGACTAACTCCCGAAGAAATGGCAAATCTGAATAGATGTATAAAGGCAAAATGTTGAATATAGAAATGAGAAAACTTAGATGCTCCAGTGGCCCAATCGGACAGCGTGCGGTACTTACAGAAATGAGAAAACTTGTTACAGTGAAAACTCGGGGGCAGAATGCTTCACCAGTGAGTTCTGCAAATATTTTTTAAAGCTTAACATTGATCCTTCACAAATGGTCGTTAAGAACAGAAGAGGAAGAGCACAGGCAGTTTCTTTCCAAGAGACCAACCACACCTCAAGAGTGACATCCGACAAGACTGCAGCATGTGACTGCAGACCACTGCTACACGAATTGGAGAGTGGAAAGAGGGTTTTACAGTGCCAGTAACCCTCAGCTTATGCCATAGATTCAACAGATTCCCAGCTACCAGTTTTACAGAAATGGACAAACAGATTCTTTTTTTTTTTTTTTTTTTTTTTTTGTGGAACCAGGGATTGAACTGAGGCCCTTGTGCTTGCCAGGGAAGCACCTATTCCACTGAGCCATCTCCCCAGCCCCTGGACAAACAGATTGTAAAATTCATAAAGAAATGCAAGAGACGCAGGATAGCCAAAAGAATCGTGAATAAAATGGAAGGAATCACACTTGCCAATTGCAGACCTTTCAGCAAAAGCACAAGAATCAAGATATATAAGGGTAGTACTGGTATAAGAATAGACTTAGGGAGGAATGAAATTAAATTGAGAGTCTAGAATGAAATTAAATTGACAAGGGCGCTAACACCACACAATAAGGCAAGAAGGGGCCGGGGAAATGGCTTAAGTAGAATAAGTTTTTGCCAGGTCTGAGTTCAATCCCTGGTTCCACCAAAAAATAAAGAAAGAATAATTCTTTCAAGAAATTATGCTAATAAGAGCTAAAAGTATACAATATAGAAAACATACCTATATGTAAATCTTCATGGCTTTAGGCATTATTTCCTTATACAGGATATGGATTGAGTGTCTTGGACGGAATATTTTGGGCTTTGGAATATTGGCATGTACCTAATGAGAAATCTTAAGGATGAAACCTGGATCCAAACAAAACCATATACATATAACCCGATGGTCACTTCAGACCTCAGTGTTGAACACACAGCTCTTCTATGGTTACATTGTGTCACATGAAGTCATTGTCCACATTTAGTGTCATTGGTGACACACAAATAAGTGTCACATTTGGGGCCAGTTCATATTTCACATTTTCAAGTTATATTCAACCTGTACCTAAGGCACAAGCAAACAAGAAAAAGATGAATACTTAAAAACTTTGAGGAGAGCCTTAGTCCCAGTGCTTGGGAGACTGAAAACAGGAGAATCACTACAAGTCTGATCTGTGTAATGACACCCTGTACTAAATACATTTAAAAAAAAAAAAAAATCCACTGTTAAAATCATACCCAAAAGAATGGTTGTCATTTAAAAAGCAAAAGACAGGTAATAACAGTATGTTGGCAGGAATATAGAATGTAAACTGTTGTACCAACTGTGGAAAACAATTTGACAGATCCTCAAAAAGTTTAATGTGTTTTTACTGTGTTGCCTAGTAATTCCATTCTTAGGTGTACAGCTATGTGAAATGAAAGCTATTTCCACATAAAAACTTGTACACTAGTGTTTGTATCAGGAGGAGGATCATGAGTTTGAGGCCAAACTGGGCAACTAGCAAAACTCTGTGTCAAAATACAATGGCTGAAGATGTAGTGCTAGAGCACTTGCCTAGCATGTGGAGGCCCTAGACTCGTGCCCAAATGCATGCCCTCCCCTTAAAAAAAAGAAGAAGAAGAATGTTTTGGGTGGATAGATAGGTGGGTTAGTTGGTTGTGACAAGGTCTTCCTGTGTAGTTCAAGCAGTCCTGAACTCACTGTGCAGCCCAGGCTGGCCTCAAATTCACAGTGATCCTCCTGCCTTAGTCTCCCAAGTGCTGGGAGCACAGGCATGAGCCACCATGCCTTCCCTGGACAAGGTGATACATGCAGTGGAATATTATTTACCATTAAAAAGAAAAGCAGGGCCGGCCAAATAACTTAGTGGATTAAAGTGAGGGTGGTGGGGGTTGGATCCCCAGGCCTGCCATGTCCCTGAGCTCACTGAGCTGGAGATTGGGACTGGGCGTGGTGGCGCACACCTGTAATCTTAGCACTTGGGAGGCTGAAAACAGGCAGATCAGTACAGTCCAATCTAGTAGTAAGACCCTGAATATCCTGTAGTACCTTCCCTAAAATACAAAAAGAAAAAAAAAAGAAAAGCATATTGATATAAGGTACTTGAACCTTGAAAGCATTAGGCCAAGTGAAAGGCCATACACAGAATACTGTATGCTAGGCTGCTTCAACAAAGCAGTCAGGCTCAGGTTGCTGTGGTTCGAGCCCCACAACTCAACTCCAAACCTGCCCTGACAAGGCATTCAGAGAAAAAAAAAAAAAAATACTGTATGCTTTCCTCTATAGGAAGCATTCATAATATTGTGCTCTATAGGATCAGAAGTTAGATGCATGGCTTTTGGGAGTACGTGGAGAGGAAAATGGATGGTACAGCATTTCTTTTAGGCTGACATAGATATTCTCAGATTTGATAATAGATGGTTGTACAAGTTTATGGATGTGCTACAGTGTACAGGTTAAGAATAAATTTTTGAATATTGCAAATTGGAGGCCAGCTTGGGCAATTTAGTGAGATCCAGTCTGATGAGAATTTAAAACTAAAAAGAGATAAGAATGTAGCTTACCTTAATAGGTAAGAGAGTAGTAGAGTGCTCGACTAGCTTTTGCAAGGCCTTAGATTCAATCTGCCACACTATAAACACAGAGTGGCTTGTATTTTATGTGACTTATACCTCAGTTTACGAAAAGTGACTCAGCCCTCACCCTCCACAGCAAGGCCCTCAACCCCTCCGTGGGAGTACAGGTGAATGGGGAGCTATTCCTGTGAGAGGGGGCTGCATTCCTGCTCTGCTTCCTATACATCTTAGAGCAAAAGTGGAGCACTCTAAGAAGTGTCATGAGGCCTGTATTGTCCATCCTCCTCAGCCTTCCTAGAGATTATATTGCAGGATCTGGATTGGATTCTTTTTCTGTTAAGCATGAAGTGTTAATTATAACCTAGAACTAATGCTTACAAAATATAGGAAACGCTCTTGTGAACATGGATTTTTCATCTGTTTGGTAGCTGGTGGCAGTTTCTTGTCCATTTGTCCATTAGGAGGATCGAGTAAACAGGAGGCCATGGAGGGTTAGGACAGTGATCTACTGCTTTGTTCTTGCGGTGAGTCCTGGGAGTGAGGCAGAATCCACTCACAGAATGCCTCTAAGACAAACTAGCTTTTTAAGGATTATAGGTTAAAGTGTATAGATGTGTACATGGGGAGAAGGCAAAATATTTAGAGATCAGTGGAAGGGCTGGGGATTTGGCTCAAATGGTAGAAAACTTGCCTAGCAAGCTGGAAGCCCTGGGTTCAGTCCTTGGCACGAGAGAGAGAGAGAGAGAGAGAGGGGGGGGGGAAGGAAAGAGAAAGAAATCAGTGAAGCACACCAATTTTATAGTGTGGCAGGGCAAGAAAGAAAGAAGGAAGGAAAGAAAGAAATCAGTGAAGCACACCAGTTTTATAGCGTGGCAGGGCAGAGTCCTGATGAGCACAATTGGATTAGGTTCTGCTGCAGAGAGGCTTATACATATGTAAATTATTTGAGTAATGTGCCTGTGCTTCTTTCCTTCCCTATAATGTGCTTTGGTAGAAATATGCTTTTTCCAGATGTGCCATGCCACTGTGGACTGATTTAATTACAGAAAGCAGCTTTCCATTTCCTTTGACACAGGCAAGCAAATAGAATAAGATTAGCACAACCAGATATGGATAAATAGCTTGGAGTATGGATTTAACTTCTGCTAATATGTTAAGAAAGGGCCTAATCAAGTCCTGCTACAGTCTACTTACCTTATTTCCCATCAGGTTGTATTGGCTTGCATCACAGGGCTTTATAGATGTCTGTGTGATATTTGTATTATTTTATCCATCCTTCAGGAAGTGCTGGGGGGAGTGGCTTTTCATTTGTGAATTTTCTTGTATGCAGAATCGTGGTTCGTCTCCCAAACCTCACAACCTCTGATGTGCGTCTTGTCACATCGTCCTGGGAAAGTGCGGGTTCTGTGCATCTGGGTAGGACTAGCCCTTCAGCTTTCACCAGGCTCCTGGGTGATAAAAGAGGCTCTGGCCCAGCAGGATGTCAGTGGGGTGCAACAGCAGACGCTGAGCTAGAGGATGCAAGCATGAAGCCAGTGCAGCCTCCACTCAGCAGTGTCACATGCTCTGTCCTCCAGCACCACTAGGTCAGCTTTGCAAAGATTCCATAGAGGCCACCATTTTCTTTTTCCTTTTATAGTTCTCCCTCAGCTTTTTACTTGGAATCACTGGAGCAGTTTAACAGACTTGCTCTCTAGTTGTAGAACACCCTGGCACTGAGTGGGGCTCATGCTGTGCATCATGTGTTTTGACAGCTGTCCATCGGAGGCATCATCATTCTGAAGGACACCAGCGAAGACATTGAGGAACTGGTGGAACCTGTGGCGGCACATGGCCCCAAAATCGAGGAGGAAGAGCAAGAGCCAGAGCCCCCAGAGCCCTTTGAGTATATCGATGACTAAGAGACCAGACGTGAGTGTCAGACTTCAAAAGTGATTCATTCAAGGACATTGTCTCGCTGTCCCCCTCCTCATTTACTTGTGTGATACATAATGTTCCCCTTTTCAGCCCTTTCCTGCATCTGTAACCAGAGAGTCCTTTCCTTCCCTGTGCCTGGCATTAGCAATTACCATTGCTATTCTGTGGCTGTCTGTACACCTTACAGGCCCTGAGGATGGACGGAGACTGCTGTAGCATGTGAGCTTGCCCGGTGCTCCTCTCCTCAGCAGTCTTACCCAGCATGGGGCTCATGCCTATAATCCTGACACTCTGAGACAGCGGCAAGAGAATTGCATGTTCAAGCCCAGACTAGGCAACTTAATGAGACACCCTCACCCCAAAATAAAACAAATTATTTTGAAAGAAAGAGCCAGGTGTGATGGGCATGTCTGTAATCTTAGTACTCAGGAGACTGAGACAGAAGGATCACTATGTGTTCAGAGGTCAGCCTGGGCTGCATACTGGGGCCTTGTCTCAAAATAAAGAAGGCTGGAACTGGAGCCCAGTGCATAGATCCTTAGTTCAGTCCCCTGCTCCTGCATAGTGCATACCGCGCTGGCATGGGTGTGTCTCATGTAAGTCCTGTCTGTAGATAGCACTTTAAGTAGCTGAGGCAAAAGTTCTGATTCTTTGCCCTGTCTCTCTTTTGGAGATACTTTTGGCTCTAAAAGCCTTAGCATTCATTTCTTCGGTGGATCTTGAGCACCTAGTGTATATAAGACACACTACATGTTGGGAGTGGGGTGTCAGTCAGACCACGCCACAGAGCTCTGTGCAGTTGATGACGACCATTTGCCAGAGTTCAGGCAGCATGGAGCCAGCCTCCAAGTGTGAGAGATGCAGGAAGTGGCCACTCTGGTTCCACCCTTTCCTTCCCAGAGTCAGCATGATCCAAAGACACATGACTAATACAAAAGCCACTTTCCCGAGCCCTAACATAGCACACATTTTGGGGTTTTGTTTGTTTATTTGTTTGTTTTGTGGTACCAGGGATCAAACTCCGGAACTTGCACTTGCCAGGTAGGTGCTTAAGCCTCTGAGTTATCTCCCCAGCCCTATTAAAATATCAGTGTATTCTGCCATATAAGGACAGTGTCATTTCATATGGTATGACTAAATAAAAATACACAGGCTGGTGGCACCTCTAGCCTGGTGGGTGTTACACATTGACTATCAATGAAAGCTTTAGGGAAATCTGAGGTAAATATTAAAACAAAAACCCTGCTATTATAGGAAAGTGTATTCTGCCACAGAGAACAAGCCCCAGAGGGCAGGGGATTTATACTACTAAGTACTTTGCTATTTAAACTTGCATTTGAAAATTCTTTTTTGTGTTTTAGAGAAGGGTCTTCAGGGTCTCACTACTAGATCAGGTGCCTGTTTATAGCCTCCCAAGAGCTGGGACCACAGGCACGCGCCACCATGCCTGGTCTCAATTGCCATCTCAGCGCACCCCAGGGGCGGGGCTGGCATGGCAGGCCCAGGGATCAAACCCCTGGCCCCTGCACCTGCTTACAGGCGCCTTAATTCACTTGAGTTATTTGGCTGGCCCTTGAAAATTCCCTTGATGGTTCCCTAAGTATTCCCTATGCAGCGCAAGACAGTCTTGTCACAGTCACTGTCACAGAACTGAGTTGACTTGAGTAGCCCCTTCCAGCCTTTCGTAATGTCTCAGTGAATCCCCCCATAATACCTTTTTTTTTTTTTAATTTTTTTTATTTGTGTGTGTGTGTGTGTGTGTGTGTGTGTGTGGCCAGCTCAGCCCACCAGGGGGCGAGGCTGGCTGGCATGTGGTGCTGGGGGATCGAACTGCGGTCCCTCTGCTTTGCTAAGCTTGTTCTAAGTAGGTGCTTTAGACCACTGAGCCATCTCACCAGCCCCCCATAATACCTTTTGAGGCATGTCACCACAGAAAGACTTAGAGGTCTGTAGCTAGAAATTGGGTTCTCACTGGT